CAGAAAAACCTGGGAATACTTACATGAACTGATGCTGAGTGAAGTGAGCAGAACCAGGAGAACATTGTTCCAAAGGACTTACAGTGAAAAATGCTATCCACCTCCAGAGAAAGAACAGATAGAGTCTGAATGCAGATCGAAGTATACTTTTTTTTTTAGCTTTCTTTACCCTGTGTTTTTTTGGGGTCTGTGTTTTCTTTTGCAATATGGCAAATATAGAAATATGTTTTGCGTGACTGCACATGTATAATATGTTGAATTGCTTGCCATCTCAAGAAGCAGCTAGGAGAGGGAAGGAGGAAAAGAATTTGGAGTTCAGAATTTTTAAAAAAATGAATGTTAAAATTTTTTCCATGTAATTAGGAAATATTTAATGAAATAAGTAAAAATATATTGGGGGAAAAAAAACAAATGGTGTTCTCATGAAACTCAATGGCCATTCCCACTGAAACTCGAATCTAAGGGCATCTTGAACTGGACCTCTTTCCATTCCCTTGTCTACTCTAAGTATTCCTTCTCCCTTCACAGAAATGAATTTTGCTTTGTCAAGGCTTACAAAAAGACCAGAAGCTACTGAAATTTCATCTTATTAAGGTCCTCCAATCCTCAGACCAAGGAGGGCATATTAAATGTCCTTTCCAATGAATATTCAAGTGCTCAGCAGAGTCTCTCTCTTGTTCTGACTATCATAATGTGATTTTGAAGGAAGTCTGATGTTGTAAAGGCTCCATTATTGGCTTTTTACATTTCTTATTCAAGCCTGAATGCTAAAAATGAAATGTCCAGGCTTTTTGGTATGCTTACCACTACAAAATATCATTGCATATACAAGTACTTTCGAACAAAGGGACAGTCTCTTTGTCCAAGGCCTAGTCTTGCCTTACATAGAGACAGTAAAATTTAATTTGCTGATGATCTTTCAGTCCAGAAGCTCAGTTAGAAGAGTCTGAATGCATCTATAATAGACTGAATTGCTTTTCTATCTACTTTCTCTTTTATTCTTTAAAAAAAATGATGTTCTTTTCTTTGTTTGCATCCCTGCTATTTCTCAATAACTTCCTCCCTCCACCCACTGCAATAAAACCCTCTCTTGTAACAAATAAGCACTATCAGGCAAACAAGTCAACATGTTGGCAATGTCTGAAAATGTAGGCCTTATTCCACACGTCTGTCTCCCACCTCTTGGCCAAGAGGTGGCATCCATATTTCACCAACAGTCCTCAGAAGTATTGATTGGTTTGTGCATTCATTAGCATTCTAAAGTCTCTCATTGTTTGGTTGCTTTACATTATTTGGTCATAATGTAAAATCTTTTTCTGGTTCTGCTTACTTTACTCTGTATCAAGTCATATGAATCTTCTCAAATTTCTCTGAATTATTCATATTCGTTGTATCTTATGGCACGATAATATCCACATATCAGTTTGCTTGTCCATTTCCAAATTGATGAATACCTACTTTCCTTCTAGTTTTTTGCTATTACAAAAAGTGCTGCTATGTATATATATTTTTTAATATATGGGCCCTTTCTTTCTGTCTTTTACTTCCTTGGGGTATATGCCTCATTATGGCATCATAATGGCCAAAGGGCATCATTTAGTGACTTTTCTAACATAGTTTTAAATTGATTTCCAGAGTGGTTGGCATAATATACATCTCCTCCCAGAGTGTATTAGCGTTCCTGCTCTCCTACATCCCCTCCAATATATACCATTTTCGTCATTTGTCAACATTGCCAATATTATGGGTATGAGATGACATTAACTGGTTGTTTAACTGTCTTTCTTTTAAAATGGTTAGTGTAGCTTACATTTTTTCTTTTGGAGAAATATTCCTTAACTGTTAAGGATTCTATTGACTTTCCTGGGTGAGGTACATGGTAGGCAAGTTTTTCAGATTCTTTTTCTCTTTCCTTATTATTAAGTGGGAATGTTTGCTGTCAGATGCATTAAAGCAAGCCTTCATCCTCTAAGACCTTTGTTTACATTACTTCACACATTACTTTGTTAGGATTAACCTTGAGGTCCTTAGCTGGTTTGTAGGGCAGAGGTGTCAAACACATGCTTTCTGGGTGACATGAGGCCCACAACACTCCCAAGTGCCACCGAACCAGATTCAAATGCAATTGGGAAATAGTTAACAAAATAGATAAAAATACAATAAGGCATAGATAATATTACATTTTAAAACTAAGTCAATACTTAGGGGAGCCCGCCTCCTCGAGGGATTCTTATGTGAGGTTTAATGGCCCCTGTTTCTATTTGAATTTGACGCAACACCTCTGGTGTAAGGGATAAAAAGGCAGATGAGATGGTTTTTATCCTCAAGGGACTTGAAATCTAGTAGAGGTCTAAGAAAGGCAGATAATATGACTGAGAATGCAATAAAAACATTAGGAAAGGTACAAAAAGAGTTCAGTGGAAATTCAGAAGAAGGGAGGGATCACTTCTGATTTGGAGGCTTCATGGAAGGTCACTTTGAGCTCAGCTTCCATCATGATTTGGATTGCAATTAGTTGGAAGTGAAGTGGAAGTCAGTGGAGAGAAATCAGGCTGAGAAAAGAAGAAGAGGTGGTAAGACATCGGGGAGTTTGATAAATGTTGAAAAGTTCAGTTTGAAGACAATATACAGTACGTGTACGGTGATAAGCCTGGAACTGTAGGTTGAGGACTGCTTAAAGAGATTCCATGTCTGGCAAGTACTTTTTAATCACTTAAAATTGCAGATGCTTAAAGGGTTTTGTCAGTGATGAATATTTCATCTAGTAATCAAATCCCCCAAATCTTAGGAAATGGATGGAAGAAGTATTTCTATAACACCCACTATGTATCTCCCTAAGGCCATCCTGGTGATGAGCCTCCCTCTGAACTTAGCTAGGTTGATTTTCTGATGACAAGCATGTTGTCCATTCCTGGGCTTGCCCTCAAACCCTTCTAGTTTGGTAGAACCAACCAGAACTCGATCTTCACTGGCATAACCTCAAGACCCTAGGATCATCTTTATGCCACAACGAGACATCAGAGAAAGACCTTAGAGGAGGACAGTAAAAGAGCATCTGTGCACTCAGGGTATGTTGGCCTTATTGACTTAGTAGCATCAGTTCTCTCATGAAAGATTGCTCCATAGCAGGAGCTACACAGGCTTTTCTTGACTCACAAATTGACTCAGCAAAGAAGTTATATCAAAGGGTCCCTATCTCTGGCCTAGAATCCGGGGGTAAGGTAATTCAGTAGCTGGCAAAGATCTGATTATCTAACTAATACGGAGAGAGAGGCTTTGGGAATTGAATGCTTCATTTGTGGGGACTCCCTCAAACAACACAGATTAGAAGGCCTCGCACTTTCTCATCCTGTGTGATCCTCATCCATGTTTACCCCCTAAATCCTCCATAAGGGCTCCCACCAATGCTCAGGAGGCCTTCTTGTTGCTTTAATATCTCAGGGGTACAAAGAAACTACTCAGGTCTGAATCAGAGTCAGTCATAAATGGATAAAATTGACCCCTGTTGTAGAGTCTCTGCTTGAAAGCTGAACACTTGATTGAAGATTTAGAATTCATTTGGAAGCCAGAGCCTGACTTATATAATACATATTTTCATGTATTGTTTCTTCAAAGATGCTTTGATTAAAAAAAAAGTCTTTACTTTGGCATGGGCATGCCATTTGGGGTTTGCAAGTCCACTTGCAACAGAGCTAAAAGTTGGATCCTTTATTTTGAACAAAGCCTTTGAAAATACCATGAGACACTTGACCAGTTGTGTTTCACTGAAGGCTCTTTGAAGTGAGGTTTGAATCTTGTTTGTACAAGGGGCAGTTGGGAAACTTTGCAATTGGCGAAGCAGATCAAAACATACTCATTTGTGTTCTTCATGAAGCAGATCTAGCGTCTACCACTGAGCATTCATTCTTTCCCAATCGAAGGAAAATGTTGGATCTTAAGAACTCTGAATTGTTTTCAGTGTTAGAAGTTACTGGGGGTAATACAGTCTGGGCTCAGCACCTAGCTGGTTGTTTAATGTCTCTGTTGAGCTTAGGTTGAACTAATCTTTTCTCCATTTCTCTTAATGAAGCTAAACTATTCTACCTGACTTTTTGCTAATGCCATAGAGAAGTAAACGAAATAAGTGGCTAGGAATTGGTTAGGGTTCTAACCTTTTTACAGTTTTCTACAAAAAATGTGGGTGTGTGCAACACAAATGGCAAGCCTTTTCTGTAAAAAGTGTCTCTTTGGTTAACTTGATTTTGATAATGCTTTCTGTAACAATCTCTTGTCTGAAAAGTTGAAAGTGCACAAATATAGATTTCTGTAATACTATTACCCTGAAATTATATATAGTATACTGCAGTCTAAGAGCTCCAGGTGCTTCCATATCATTGATCCTGGCTATTGGCCGAGACACTGTCTCTTAGCACAGAAGATTCTCAAAGGACAGGCCTTGGAGAGCGGATGTTGGTAGATCGCATGAAGCTGAAAAGGAAGGTCCCTGGTATGGGTCTCATGACCCACCATGTGGCTTGCACTTGGGCAGCTTTGGCTTGCACAGTGCTTGGCACAAAGTAAATACCTAGCAAATGCTTTTTCATTCATCATCCTTGAGTGATGTATTAGCTAAGTGCAGAGCAGTTTATCCTCAGAATGACAGTCACCTGGGCGTAGAATTTTGTGGTCACAGAAACTCTCTGTCTACAAAAACATTGGAAGGCTTGTGATCTGCATCTGGAGAGGAACCTGCATGCCAGCAAAATCATGGCTTTCTGAGAGGCATGGAATAGACAGAAGAGCATTGGATTTGGGGTCAGAAGGCCTGTATTTAAATCCTTTTTTGACCTCTGTGTGACCTTTGTGAGCATAGCTGAGTCACTTAGAACCTCAGTCTGCTCATCTGTAAAAGGAAGGGTTTGGACTGGCTGGTCTATAGGGTGTCTTCCAGCTCTAGATCTTGTGGGTGACTTTGAACAAGTAACTTCTCCATGGGCCTCAGTTTCCTCCTCTGTAGAACGATGAGGATAGGACCAGATGGCCTCTCAGGTACCTTGCAGATCCAGATCAAGTATATTACACTCTTTTGTGGCATTTATGTACCTGAAAATCATCTCTTGGACAGCAGTAAGGCCTGCATTTGAATCCTGTTTTCATGGATGGGAACCAGAGGCACAGAAAGGTTTAGTGACTTTTTCGTCCATGGTTATCCAGTAACAAATTTATGATTAGAATTCTGCATGGTTTACTGGATGGAGTGCTAGACCTGGAGTCAGGCAGGTCCTGGGTTTAAATCTCACCTCCAACACTTATTACTTATACAAACCTATGCAGGTCACTTTCCTTCTGTGTGCCTCAGTTTCCTCATCTGTAAAATAAGGGGGTTGGATTCATTGACCTCTAAGGTCCCTTCTCTCTCTAAATCTATGATCCTACAATGGCTAGCGCTATAGCCGGTGGGCTAAGAGTCCCTGATAAGGAGTTCAGATAGACTTGAACTTTGTTTTGAAGCAGTATTGTAGCAGCCAATTTCTATCTTTTCTGCGTTTCCATTGTTGAGCTTTGCTTGATTAATGGCCTGATGTACAGACATATTTTCATTGGAAATATATTTGCAATGCATTCTGAGTGACAGATTAAAGCATCTCTATTTTAATGTGATCCCCTGCCCCCCTTGGCAATGTGAATCACATAATCCGTCTCTTATCCTTTTTAATAAGCCATGCTCTATGTGAAGCTGGTGACTGAATATTTGATAAGGATTCTAAAAATGTGTTTCATTTATGTTGTCACCAGCATTGGTTTTGGAATGAGCTTCCAATGAAAAAGAGGGAAAGCTCCCTTCTCCCCACTGTACTTCAGAAGGCCCCAGGCACCTGTCAGACAGCATGGTACCTTTGTTCGCTGTTACTGATGTTTTAAGAGTAAGCCATTCATTCATTTAGCAGACATTTGCTGGGCACCTCCTGCATTAAACATTGGGCCATGCCTACTACAAAAGTGGTGGTAGGCATTGTCGTTGCCCTCCAGAAGCTTATTATCTTCTTGTGCAGGCAACAATGTCATGCTCTTAACAGGGAAATAATGAGGAGGATGCCACATAAGCAAATCCTAAGGAAGAGAGGGAGAAGGAACTGGAATGAGCTCTTCTCCGACTCTGATCATGAGTTTCAATGAAAGAAAGAACACTGGGCTTAGAGCGAGATGGTAATAATGATAGCTGAATGAATGAATTAATGGGAAGGATATTAGGGCTTACTATGTGCCAAGCACTGTGCTAAGTGTTGGGGATGCAAATACAAAAGAGATGAGATCACTGCCCTTTGCTGTTGTTGTTCAGTTGTGACTCCATTTGGGGTTTTCTTGGCAGAGATACTGGAGTGGTTTGCTATTTCCTTCTCCAGCTCATTTTACTGATGAGGAAACTGAGGCAAACAGGGTGAAGTGACTTACTCAGGGTCACACAGCTAGTTAAGTCTCTGAGGCTGCCAAATTTGAACTCAGGTCTTCCTGACTCCAGGCCCAGGTCTCCATCTCCTGCAGCACCACCTAGCTGCCCCTTTAGGAGCTTACATTCTAATGGGGGAAAACAACATATTGGGGAGCAGTAGCCAGGGTAGGGTGTTATGATCTTCCTGACTCCAAGTCCTGTGCTGCATCTATTAGCCCAGGCTGACTTGGGGGTCCATTCCAAGCTCCTACCAACTCACTAGTTGTGTGACCTTGGACAAGTTACTTTTCCTCCATGAGGCATCCTTTTTTCATATGAAAGAGCATGGGTGATATTTATATTATCTGTCTCGCAGGATTATTGTAAGGAAGGTGCTTTAGAATTCAAGGAAGGAAGGATGGAAGGAAACATTTATTCATTGCCTACTGTGAATGAAACACTGAGCTAAACTACAAATATCGTCTCATTTGATTCTCACAACAACCCTCGGAGTTAGCTGCTATTATTATCCCCATTTTACACTTTAGGAAACTCAGGCAGACAGAGGTTAAATGACTTGCAAGTCACACAGCTAGTAAGTTTCTTTCCTTTTTTTGGAGGCAATCAATCAGGGTTAAGTGACTTGCCCAGGGTCACACAGCTAGTAAGTGTCTGAGGTGGGATCTGAACACAGGTCCTTCTGACTCCAGGGTTTGTGCTCTATCCATTGTGTCACCTAGTTGCCCCTCTAGTAAATTTATGAGCCTGGATTTGAACTCAGATTTTCCCAACTCCATGCCCTACACTATATCCTCTGTACCACCTAGCCGAGACCCAAGACATTTCCCATGACAGGCCCTGGGATCATATAGATTTCAGTCCATTAGGGGATGGGGGGAATGTCTCACCATCAGGATCCTACCCATGGCTATGTGAACCCAGAATCTCTTTGAGTATGTGAGTATGTGGCAGTGGGGGCTGGGGGGGAAGTGGACCTGGGATTGAGAGGTTCAGTTGCCACTAATCTTTGACAAAACCGTACGTCGTGAAGGATCAATAAGGAGTTCCATATGTCATCCTAGCAAGGTGCATGTTCCTCAGCAATGAGCCAGAACACATACCCAGCCCCATGCCTAGCAAATCAGGAATCAGGAGCTATATTTAAGAGTCAGAAAGACCTGAGTTCAAATCATGCCTTAGACACTTGTTAGCTGTGTGACCCTGGGCAAGTCACTTAACTTCTCTCAGGCTCAGATTCCTCATCTGTAAAATGGGAATAATAATCATACCTCACAGATATGGATGAGATAACATGTACAGCTGGGGTCTGTTAATTTGCATTTTTTATATTTTGGTAACCATATTTCAATAGAAGTGGTTTCCTGGGTATTCCAATGCATAGGCTTCTCCAGAATGCCAAAGGGGAAAAAGTTAACAATCCTTGTCTTAGAAACTTGTCAGGGTATTGGGAGGTTAAATGACCTGCCCAGAGTCACATGGTCAGTAAATATCTAGCAGGACTTGAATCTTAGCTTAGAGGCCATTTCTTTTTTCTACTATGATATAGTACTTTTCTTTCTTTTTTATTTAATATTTTATTTTTTCCCAATTACGTGTAAAAACAAATTTAACATTGTTTTTTTTCAAATTTTGAGTTTCAAGTTCTCTCCCTCCCTCCCTTACTCCTTTCATTGAAAAGGCAAGCAATTTGACGTAGGTTATGTTATACATGTGTAGTCATACAAAACACATTTCCATGTAAGCCATTCTATGAAAGAAAACACAGAGAAAAACACCAAGCAAAATAAAGAAAGTAGAGAAAAAAAATTCTTTGATGTGCATTCAGGATCTACCAGTTCTTTCTCTGGAGATGGACAGCACCTTTTCATCATAAGTCCTACAGAATTGTCTTTTATCACTATATTGCTGAGAATAGCTAAATTATTCATAGTAGATCATCATTCAGTATTGCTGTTACTGTGTATAATGTTCTCCTCATTCTGCTCATTTCACTTTGCATCAGTTCATGTAAGTCTTTCTATGTTTTTCTGAGAGCATCCTGCTCATCATTTCATAAAGCACGATAGTATTCCATCACAATGATCACAACTTGTTCAGCCATTCCCCAATTTGATGGACATGCCCTCAATTTCCAATTCTTTGCCACCACAAAAAGAACTGCTGTAAATATTTTTGTACACATAGGTCCTTTTCCTTTTTGTTTTTTATCTCTTTGTGATACAGACATAGTACTGGTATTGCTGGGTCAAAAGGTATACATGGCTTTATAGCCCTTTGGGCATAGTTCCAAATTGCTCTCCAAAATGGTTGAATCAATATACAACTTCATCAACAGTACACTAGTGTTTTAATTTTTCCACATCCCTTTCAACATTTATCATTTTCCTTTTCTGTCATATTGGCCAATCTGACGATGTGAGGTAGTAGCTCAGAGTTGTTTTGATTTGCATCTCTCGTCAATAGTGATTTAGAGCATTTTTTCATATGATTATAGATACCTTTGATTACTTTGTCTGAAAACTGCCTGTTCATATCCTTTGACCATTTCTCAATTGAGAAACGGTTCTTATTTCTATAAATTTGACTCAGTCTTTACTGACTGAAGTCTTTATCAGAGAAACTCACTGTAAACATTTTTTCACAAAAATAACTACCAAGTGTGTATTTCTCTCTATCCTATTTCCCCCTGTTTATCCTACTCTCTCTCTCTCCTTTTATCCTGTCCATTCTCAAAAGTGTTTTGCTTCTGACTTTTACTTCCCCAAAACTGCCCTCCCTTCAACAGCTCCCCTCCCTTTCTCTTATCCCCTTCCCTTCCTACTTTCCTGTATGGTAAAATAGATTTCTACACCCAACTGAGTATGTATGTTATTCCTTCTGAGCCAATTCTGATGAGAGTAAAGTTCATGTGCTCCCCTCCCCACTTCCCCCATTTCCCCCCACCACCTTAAAATCTCTTTAAGGCCTCTTTTATGTGAGATAATTTATGCCATTCTATCTCTCCCTTTCCCCTTCACCCAATGCATTCTTCTTTTTCATCGCTTAATTTTATTTTTAGATAACCATACCATCACATTAAACTCACACCTCTGCTTTCTGTCTATGTATACACCTTCTAACTGCCATAATAATGAGAAAGTTTTTAGGAGTTATAAAAATTATTTTCACATGTAGAAATATAAACAGTTTAACCTTATCGAATTCCTTATGATTTCTCTTTCCTGTTTACTTTTTTATGCTTCTTTTACATCTTGTATTTGGAAGTCAAATTTTCTATTCAGCTCTGGTCTTTTGATTAGGAATGCTTGAAAGTCCTCTGTTTCACTGAATGTCCATTTTCCCCTGAAGCATTACATTCACTTTTGCTGGGTAGGTGATTCTTTGTTGTAATCCTAGCTCTTTTGCCCTGTGGAATATCATATTCCAAGCCTTCTGATTCTTTAATGTAGAAGCTGATAAATCTTGTGTGATCCTGACTGTGGCTCCATGATATTTAAATTGTTTCTTTTTGGATGCTTGCAGAATTTTATCCTTGATCTGGGAGGTCTGGATTTTGGCTATAATATTCCTGGGAATTTTCATTTTGGCATCCCTTTCAGTAGGTGATCAGTGGGTTCTTTCAATTTTTATTTTACCATGTGGTTCTAGAATATCAGGACAGTTTTCTTTGATAATTTCTTGAAAGATGATGTCTAGGCTCTTTTTTATCATGACTTTCAGGCAGTCCAATAATTCTTAAATTATCTCTCCTGAAACTGTTTTCCAGGTCAGTTGTTTTTCCAATTAGATGTTTCAAATTTTCTTCTATTGTTTCATTCTTTAGGTTTTGTTTTATTGTTTCTTGATGTCTCCTAAACTCAGTAGCTTTCATTTTGCCCAATTCTAACTTTTAAGGAATTATTTTCTTCAGTGAGCTTTTGTACCTCCTTCCCCATTTGGCCAATTCTACTTTTTAAGGAGTTTTTCTCTTTGGTAAATTTTTGTATATCTTTTTTTCTAATTGGTCAATTCTGTTTTTCAAGGCATTCTTCTCTTCATTGGATTTTTGTGCCCCTTTTACCATTTGGCCTATTCTGTTTTTAAGGTGTTATTTTCTTCAGTATTTTTTTGTGCCTCCTTTACCAAGTTGTTGACTCTTGTTTCATGATTTTTTTGTATCACTCTCATTTCTGTTCCCAATATTTTCTCTACTTCTCTTACTTGATTTTTAAAATCCTTTTTGAGCTCTTTCATGGTTTGAGACCAAGTCATATTTTTCTTTGAGGGTTTGGATGCAGGAATCTTGACTTTGTTGTCTTCTGAGTGTGTTTTGATCTTCTTTGTCACCATAGTAACTTTCTATGGTCAGAATTTTTTTTTCTGTTATTTGCTCATTTTCCAGCCTATTTATTGACTTTTAACTCTATGCTAAAGTGGGGCTCTCCTTCTCAAGTGGAGAGAGCACTGTCCCAAGCTTCAGGTTTTTTGTACAACTCTTTTCAGAATTAATTCTGGGGAACTGTAAGTTTTTGGTTCTTCCAAGGTAGTATGATCTAGGAAGAAGTGTGTTTACTAGTCTCTTGTACTGTGTACTGGTTTGTGAGTGACCACAAGCACTCTTTTCAACCCTGGAACTGTGATCAGGGTCCCTGCTCTCCTGCAGCCAGAAGCTGTGCTGTGCTGGTGCTCCTCCTCACACTGGGACTAAGACCCAGTACTGTGACCCAGATCCAGGTATAGGCAATGCAACAGAGTCCTGCCTCTGGTGCCAGCAAAGGGACCCCTGTAAATCTCCTTCTGACCCATTGTCCAATCCCCTACTGTCTGTGGACTGAGAGGTCTAGAAACTGCCACTGCTGCCATTGATTCAGTCTCCCTAGTGATATGGTACTTTTTCTAATGTTAAATCCAACTGACAACTAAATTAAACTAACATTTAGTTTTAAAAAAAAACATGCCCTACTTCTCTCTCCCAATGTCTGAGAACCTTGCTGACCCACAAACTGAAATTAATCTTACCCTTCATGTATTTATATGAAGAGTGGGTGCTGGGACAGGGATGTCATTGATTGATCCACTAATTGGTGGTTACATTCAAGAGTCTGCTACAAATGTATTCCCAGGGGGTCTGACGATAGAGAAGCCCCACTCTAGCTGACAAGAGCAATTCCCCATTGGTGCTACAAGGCTCAGCCCCAGTGCTAACACTTGAGTATTTCTCCCGTGTGTTGCATTTAATGGCCTAAGTGATAAATAGCCTGCTAGTCAACTTCCTTTCTGCAGTGCTCCTGGATTTTCTGGCAGAAAGATAGGTTAGTTGTAATGTGGATATAAAACAGGACAGCAAAGCCTCACCGAGAATTTCTCCATTTGTGAATTTTTCTAAGGATGTAGGTCACTCTCTAGCAGCAAGGCTTTCTTCCCATCAAATAGATATGTTAAATCGGGGAGAATCTCTGAAGGCAATGTTGTACTTCCATTGCTTTAAAAAGCATCGCTTTGTTTTATCATGTTACTTGATGGAAGGTTCACCAAAATATTACTCAGAATCTTCTGGCAACTGAACAGCAGCATCTTTTTTCTCCATTTAGCCTTTGAATGACCAGTGTAGCCAAGATGTTTGCACATTTCTTGATTTTGATTGAGCAATTATAGAAAGTTCTAGTAGCGAGTATAACCTTTCAGCTTATCTCAATGCACGTTAGGTCAAGAAATATGCAATATTTTAATCTCTTTAATCTTTTATTTTCCCTAATGACATGTAAAAACAGTTTTAAAGCTTGTTTTAAAAAAAATTGAGTTCCAAATTCTCTCCCTCCCTTCCTTTCCCCCCTCAGTGAGAAGGTAAGCAATTTCATATAGGTTATAAATGTATAGTCATGCAAAATATATTTCCACATTAGTCATGTTGTGGAAAAAAAGACACAGACAGAAGAAAAACCCAAGAAAAATAAAGCAAAAAAAGTATGCTTTGATCTGCATTCAGACTCTTTCAATTGAAATATGCAATATTTTAACACACAGCACACAATCCACGGTTTAAGTGGACATAGTCACCCTTGCGGTGGCATTTGTTAAGGCTTTATATCTCACATGTATATTCTTAGGTCTGTTGAACAATGGGATGCTGAAATCCCAATGAAGGAATTCCCTTCACTTGTACGGGTTGCACCCCATCAGTGACTTAGTAGGTAAAAAAAATAAAATAAAAGTATGGAATATTTATGAAGTTCTTTTAAGTTTGCAAAGTGCCTTACATGTTATCTCATATGATCCTTAAAAGGTTCCTGTGAAGTAGATGCTATTATTATCCCCATTTTATAGATGAGGACACTGAGGCTAAGAAAGGTTAAATGACTTGCCTAAGGCCATACAGCTAATGAGTTAGGATTTGAACCCAAGTCTTCTTGGTTTTATATCCAGCATAGAGGTCACTAATTCCTAGGGGATGAATTTTGGGGTACAGAGATGTTGATGATTTGCTTAGAGTCACACAGCTAGTGAGTGTCAGATTAAAGGTTTAAATATATATTTGATATAACTATTATTATGCATCATGTACACATATGCACACATACATGTATATATGCATGTCTGTGTATATATATGTATATATGTATATGTATATATGTATACATGTATGTATATATCATATACATACGTGTGTGTGTGTGTGTGTGTGTGTGTGTACCTTCCTGATGCCAACACTGTTAGCTACATTGTTTTGTAACTCCTATAGATTTGAAAGAAATAAAAAAGAACATATATTGAGCAAACATAGTGGGGTATTTGAAAGATCTCTGAGCCACAAGTCAGGAGATGTAGGTTCAAGATTGTCATTTTCAGTCATCTTCATGAGAAAATCTATTCCCTTCTCTAGTAAAGCCACTGCTTGTGTTTCTCTATAAGATACATAAAAGGCAGTGTTCTTCTTAACCTTAGATCTTTTCAGAGACAATTTTTCCTAAGAGAGTGAGTGAAAAAAATTTAATGAGAGCAAGCAAGCTCACGGACCTTGGGGAAAATTTCCAACTCAGTAAAAACATATGCAAATTTCTTAAAAATGACTTCCCTAATTTGAGAATATAATTCTGTAAAGAACCAGGTATACCAGCCATGTTGCAACAAGACTGACTGACCAATTGATAGCTGTTTTGATTGATACCTGGTTGAGCTGCCCCTGAAAGGACCAGAGAAGATTCTGGGAACAGACTCTGGGAGTAGAGACAACAGAAGACTAAGATTGCCTTCTGGAACTCAAGCAGGCAGGAAAGCCCTCTTTACACAGTCAGCAGACATTTATTAGTAATATGTCAGGCTCTGAAGTTACCACCCCTGCCCTCAAGGGGCAGGTTCTACTAGGGAGTATATGAGGGAGTCAAGTCTTCCTGCCTTAACCATATCTTTTCTTTACGGTGTGCCTTCTTCAGGACAATATGCACATTGTTTTCCTCATGTGATTGTGTGTCTCTCAGGTGTTACTAGAAAGTCACCTCTCTTTGAAGATTTCTCCAGCAAGCAAAGCATATAGATGTATTGTTGTTCATGGCATAGAGTGCCAAAGGGTCTTATGAGAGGTCAGCCCAAGGGGCTTTGGTCTAGGTAGGCAGTCACAAGGAGAGTGCTCTTTTAAGGAACAGTGGCAGTATTGGGTTAATTATTATTGCCAGAGCAAGAAATGGAAAACAGAAAGGGAGATGCTAGCTAGGGACTGGTGTCTTGAGGAGATGATAAAAAAAATATTAGCACTGGATGCTATGCTGTACTCCAGAAAAAGAAAAAGAAAAGGATCAGAATAGAGGAAGTGAGAGAAAGAACTCAGAAGATCTGGGTGTCTTTGAGGCCAGCTCACTACCTGGAATTGTCAGGGTATATCCTTCATATTGGAGTCCAAGAATGCTCCTCAACACTCCCTGAAGGGTCAGTGGTAACATCAGAATAGAATACTGGATTAGGAATCAGGAAGACCTGAGTTCAAATCTTGCCTTAGATGCTTGCTTACTAGCTGTGTAACCCTAGACAAGTCTCCTTAGTTTTTTCACCTATAAAATGGGAATAATGAAAGTACCTAATTCTCCCTCCTACCCCACCCGAGGGTGTTTATAAGAATAGAATGTGATATTTGTATAGTGCTCTGTAAACTTTAAAGCTGTTGTTGTTATTATTATTTTAAAGCTTTCTACACTCCAAACTCTGTGCCTGATATGAGGTCTGATAGATATGCCTCTCCTCCTTCCCCCTCCTCCAGCCACACACTCCTAAAAGGGACAGAAAGAACAAGTCAGTTCTAAATTTAGGGAGACAATATAGCATAGTAGAGAGGAAGCATGTTATGAATCCATGGATATAGGGCACTGGACTTGCAATCAGGAAGATCTGGGTTCAAATCTTTCCTCATATATTTAGAGGTTATATGGTCCTTGGCAAGTCATGTAACCCATTTTGCCTCAGTTTCTTAATCTGTAAAATGAAGGGTTGGACTTGATGTCCTCTAAGGTCAACTTTGCCTCTAAATCTATGATCCTAATGACCAAATCAAGCAAATCCTGCTGTGTAAACAGCAACAACATTTTTTCTTTCCAGGTTTAGATTTAAGATCCAATGAATTTTCTCAGCCTCACAGGGCTCCACTATCCTGAAACAGATTATTGGTAGGAGTAGGGAGGGGCTGATTGTTATGCTGTCTATTCCAAACCTTCATTAAAAGCATCAGTTCATGTTTATGTTATTGCCCCCCCCAAAATGGCTAAGTAGGCAGATGCCTAACAATGTGGCCTCAGTTTCCCCATCCACAAAGTGAGGAGCTCAGGCTACATTTCCTCCAAGGACCCCATCCAGATGTAATGTTCTGTAATTCTAAGTCTTCCTGCCTTAACTACATCTTTTCTTTATGGTATGCCTTCTTCAGTACAGTAAGCATATTGTTTTCCTGATGTGATTGTGTGTCTCTCAGGTGTTGCTAGAAAGTCACCTCCGTTTGAAGATTTCTCCAGCAAGCAAAGCATATAGAATGTATTGTTGTTTGTGGCATAGAGTGCCAAAGGGCCTTATAAATTGGAACCTAAAGAAAAGGAGTCCAACCTCTCTTCGCCCTTTTCAAAGCAGACCTTGAAGTTCATGGCTAGACCTTGTAGAGGCTCACTTTTAAATGTGTGATGAAGGGCGGCACTCGGGACATCATTGAGTCCACAGCCGCCACCACCAGGACCATAGGCTCAGTAGGTAGCAGTTTCAGTTTTCCTTGACTCTCATAAAAAGAAAAAGGGCATTTATAAATAGCTAGCTATCAAACCTTAAATCCCAGGAATACGTCTAACCAACAATACATTGTTGTCCACTCAGATCCCTCTCCTATGAGAGATTCATCCTATTAAAAGATTATAGTTACTGCCTGGAGATCTCTACAGATACATCATCAAAGCTGAACTTTTTTATAACCCATAACCATTAAGGAATGAAACTGTTAAATAACCCCTGCCAGTCAGTCACAAGGAAAGACTATTAAACCTTTTATGTTGATGTGAACATTCCAGAAGTTAAAACACTTAATTCTATTAAAAGAGATAAATCTCTCTTAAGAATGCAGGCCACTTGGGGTACACATTAAAGGATGTTTCCATTGTCACCATTGCCAAAGTAGTTAAAACTGTTGGGTCAAAAACCCAAACCCTAGGGTGCTGCTGGCTCCTATTCCTGGCAACTGCTTATAAGCACTTAGTGTGTATTCTCCTAGGGAATCAATTCAAAAACAAGGCTCTGCTCTTCCCCTGCCCTCCCTCCCCACCCCCGCAAAAAAAATTCAACCTCACAGAATCTAATTCTAATTCAACTGCCATAAGAGAGCCTTCAGAAGCCTTCCACGGTTGGCACAACCAGTCTTCTGAAGATCTATTTGCTTGATTTCCAGCCCTTGCAATATAGCATGGAACACAGTCACTAGTTGGAATTGTCCAAAAATCTTCTAATCATGGAATTCCATGATACCAATTAGATTGGACCCCCCACTGTACTGGTTGGTGAGGTAATAATGGAGGCCAAGGACACAAAGGAAGGGGGAGCACCAGGGTAGGGGAGGAGTGAGGAGAGGAGCCATCAAAGGCAGATTGTCTGACTGATACCTGTACCATTGAGCAAACCTTTTGGCGAGATGATTTTGGGGAAGTGGATTTAGAAACATCTACTGGCAAATGTTGAACAAACCATCTTATTAAGGAAGCTTCAGGGTTAGTACAAATGAATGGTCTCTGATTATCAAAGTTTGCCTAAAAGGGAGAAGAGAGGCATGAACTTCTGCTGAGAAAAATCTAATGAGCCAATGAGGTCAAATAAGTATCATTATTATTTTACTTTTATATCTGGCTGGCATGCTGTAATTTAATCTTGTTATAGCTCTTTTTTCTTTATTTGTTTATGATAGAAGCCATAAATTATTGTTGGGAAGGTAGTTTTCAAGTAACATGACAATAGTGGAAGGCCCTAAAGAATTCTAGTGCCCAGAGTATGTGAAACCCACTAGGAAGGGCAAATCTATGTATGTTCTAAAAACTGGAACCTCATTGAGCAGTCCCCTCTGTTCCCATTACCTTTGTATCCCTAGTGTTTAGCACAGTTCCTGACACATAGTAAGTGCTTAATGCCTGTTGATTATTGATTGATTGATAGAATTATTAAGTCATTCTAACAATATTGAAAATGAAACCTTTTGGCTTAGATTCTTATAATCTAGCCATGGGCTCAGATTCTTAAAATCTAGCCAATAGCTCACTAATATTCAGACTCCTTAAGAGTCTGCATAAGTAAAATCCGGCTGGCTACAATGGCATGCAAAGCTGGCATCTACTATGTACCTGCTGAACCCAAGTTAGCTTTTATGATCAAAATCAGAGGTATCAATGGTGTTAGCCCAAAGGTCCAAAAAGTTTTGCAGCTTCTTCGTATTCACCAAATATTCAATGGCACTTTTGTTAAGCTTAACAAGGCTTCGATTAACATGCTGAGGATTGTGGAACCATATATTGCGTGGGGTTACCCAAACCTGAAGTCTGTGAATGATTTGATTTACAAACGTGGTTATGGCAAGATCAAGAAACAGAGAATTGCCCTGATGGATAATGCCCTTATTGCAAAATCTCTTGGTAAATGTGGAATTATCTGCATGGAAAACTTGATCCATGAGATCTACACTGTTGGCAAGCACTTCAAAGCTGCCAGCAACTTCCTGTGGCCCTTCAAATCATCTTCTCCACGAGGCAGAATGAAGAAAAAGACTACACATTTTGTGGAAGGTGGAGATGCTGGTAACAGGGAAGACCAGATCAACAGGCTTATTAGAAGAATGAACTAAAGGTCTCTACCATGATTATTTTTCTAATGGTCTGTTAATAAAAATGCCTGTGACAAAAAAACAAAAAAGAAAATGAAACCTTTTATCTTTTGGAGACCAGCTGATGACTGAACAAGAGGTCCTTCTATGACCAATGAGATGCATCAGAAACTCTGGAGTCAGGTTTATTTCCCTTCTCTGATGTGAGTCACTTTGCATTTTGGGGCCTCAGTTTCCTTCTCTGTAAAATTAGAGGTGGGAATCAGATGGCCTCAGAGCTCCCTGCTAGCTCTAGGCCTAGGAGCCTGTGATCCTATACCTGGCAAGTGATACCCAGTTTCTACCCTGAATGATTTGCTCTATGAGGAAGGAAAAGAGAAAGAAGGAGTTTTCTTCTTTTCCTGGCAGCTAAATAATATAGCAGATAGAGTACTGGTTTTGGACTCATAAAAAGGGTGTGTGTATGAATAAGCATGTTTATAGTGCCTACTATATGCCTAGGTACTGTGCTACGTGCTTTTTGCAAATATTATTTTATTTGACTCAGGTCTTCCTGACTCCAGGCCCAGTATTCACTGTACCTCCAGCTACCAGGGAATTCAAGGAGTTAAGACCTGAGTTTATATGCCCAAAGGGCTATAAAAATGTGCATACCCTTTGACCCAGCAATAGCACTTCTAGGGCTATATCCCAAAGAGATCATACAAATGGAAAAAGGACCCACATGTACAAAAATATTCATAGCAGCTCTTTTTGTGGTGGCAAGGAATTGGAAATCGAGAGGATGCCCATCCATTGGGGAATGGCTGAGCAAGTTGTGGTATATGAACGTAATGGAATAATATTGTGCTATAAGAAATGATGAACAGGCTGACTTCAGAAAAACCTGGAAAGACTTGTATGGACTGATGCTGAGTGAAGTGAGCAGAACCAAGAGAACTCTGTACACAATAACAGCCACGTTGTGTGATGACTAATATTGATAAACTTAACCCTTCCCAGCAATACAAGGATCTAAGACATCTCCAGAGGCCTTGGGATGGAAAATGCTATCCACATCCAAAGAAAGAACTATGGAGTTTGAATGCAGATCGAAGCATACTATTTGCTATTTTTTTTCTTCTGTTGTGTTTTGTTTCCTCTTTCTGGTGGTTCCTCCTATTGGTTCTAATTCTTACCTACAATATCACTAATGTGAAAATATGTTTAATAGGAATATATATGTATAGCCTATATCAGATTGTGTGCCATCTTGGGGAGGGATTTGGGGAGGGAAGGGAAGAAAAATTTAAAACTCAAAAGCTTATGGAAGTGATTGTTGATAATTTAAAATAAATTAAAATTTTTTTAAAAGACCTGAGTTTAAATCCAGCCTCAGATACTTGCTAGCTGTGAGACTTTGGGCAAGTCATTTCACCTCCTTATGCCTCAGTTTCTTCAAATGTGAAAATGTAGATAGTAATAACACTTACCTCCCAGGGTTGCTGTAAGGATCAAATGAGATAATATTTGTAAAATGCTTTGCACAGTGCCTGGCATGTAGTAAATGCTTGATAAATGCTTGTTTCCTGCTTCCCTTCCTTCCCTTAAGCTCTTAAAGGTAGTAAAAAATAGGTTGCATGTATGTGTGTGCATGTGTGCATGTTTGCGCATGTGCATGCTTATCCCTGCTCTGAAAAGTCCCCTGGAATATGAGACTACCTCACTTCGTCAACATGTCTGAAGTTACAGGTAGATATCTACCCTCCACAGTCAAGAATGGAGACATTTCCTAGTAAATTTCTGGTGGCAGCAAAGGAATCCTTTGGAAAATCCCAAGGAATGCCAGATACTCCTGAATAGCTCCTGGACTTCCCAACTGAGGGAGAGAGCTGTGGAAAGAAGTAAGCCCTTACTACAGGGGTTAGAGGTTGGGTGGCAAGAGGAAGGTAGAAGTACCACTATAGTTAAGCACAAAGGGGCCATAAGACCAAAAGATCAGAAATTTAGAATTCTAACTAGTCTAACTCCATCATTTTATAGATGAGGAAACTGAGACCCAAAGAAATCCAAGTGACTTGCAAAAGTCACACAGGTAGTAAATGTTAAAGGGAGGATTTGATTCCAGGCCTTCTGACCTTGAGTTCAGCTGCCTCATTTTACAAAGGAGGAAACGGAAACATAGAGGTGAAGAGACTCACTTGATATTACACAGTGAGTAGAGTTGGCACTGGAATCCAAGCCTCTCACTGTCTCCCCCCACCTACCCCAACATACCAAACCAGGCTACCTTTATAAGGAAAGAGTCCCAGACTGGAAGTCAGGTGCCCTGTGTCAACACAAGTCCTGCCACTCACTCATAGGGCCTTAACAAGTCACTTTGATTCTATGCTTAAATTTCACAGAATCATCAAGCTGGAATGGACCTAAGAGGACATATGGTCCCATCCATGCCTTTTCTGAACCCTCCACTGAATTCCTAAGCAGGTATAAACAGCTTAATTGTTTCATTGGTATTAACCTGGCCTCTCCAAGTAAGCTTCTGGAAGGCAGGAGCCACCAGCTATACTTTCCTGCTGCCCTCCCCCAGTGCTTATCACAGTGGGTACTGGACCACGAGTCATAAGCTCCATAAAATAGGGAGGATAATACCAGTTGCTCTACCTAATTTGCAAGGTTGCTCTGCAAAGAAAGTGAAATCACTGATGGGAAGATGTGTTGCACAAAGTTTCTTCCAAATCGTATTTTGGGTAGGCATTTAGACTTAACCTGGGATTCACTGTCATAGGGAATTCCTGGTGAAGAAATTCTTTCCACCGAGACAGATCTGCCTCTGCCTCTGCATTTCCAGTCTTGGGGAGTTGCCTGGGGCACCAAGAAATTGAATGATTTGCCCAAGGTCTTACAACCAGTATTTATCAGAGGCAGAATTTGAACCCACATCTTCCTGACTTGGAAGCCTATTCTTTATCTACTACACCACACTACCTGGTTGATGTCATTGCTATTGTTCATCCTTAGTTTTTGAAGAGGACTGGTGAGATCACTGGGTGATGTCATGACTCGCACATGAATTGGATTTAAATGAGGCAGAGCTGCACAAAGTCGTCAGCTTCACTCTCTCTTCCAGAGTCATCGAAGTCCAGTGACAAGACCAAAGCCAAGACATTAGTGATATCCTCATTCTCATTGTTTCTCCTCAAAGCTATGCCATGATTTGAAACAGTGGGACATCCATGGCCCTGTCCAGGATCCTCCACCATGGCAATTGGGCTCAGGGATTAGAGGTCACAGTTTCTTGGTACAACATGCCGCAAGGAGTTGGAGAACCACCTGCACAGTCATTCACACACCTCATCAAAAAGAGGTATTTGTAGAAATCTAAGGATGATGGATTGGGTAAGAGCTGAGAGCATTTTTACCAAATGGGCCAAATTGTCATCTACATCATGGTGCCTTAAAAGTTAATGTGCCTTGATGCAAACTAATGCAATTATAGCATTAAATTTTGCTAAAGATCGAAGGTGTTTGAAATTAAGCCAGAGCTGGAGTGCTCTAGCTCCGGAAAGTGAGTATCCCATCTTTGATGAAGAGAAGACATAAACTAATCCCCATTGTGTTAATGGATGTTATAACCTACCTTTTCAGCCTTTTACTTTCTTTTTTCCTACATTCTTCTTTGCATTGGACTTATTTGAAACCATGTTTTTTCAACTCTGTCATGTTGTAAGGGCTTTGAAAGCAGGGGCTGTGCTATAGCTAAACTTGTCTCCTCAGTGTCTAGCATAGTTCTGTGTATCAGATTGTAGTGTCAGACCAGGAAGAAAACTTCCAGGTCTTAGGACCCTGGATCTGTGGCTGGCAGAGACTTCAAGGTCATACTCCACCTCTTCATTTTATAGATGAGGAAACTTAGGCCCAGAGAATATAGTAGACACTTATTGTTTGTAGAATTGAATTAAACAAGGGGATGTCACCTTACGCAGAGAATAGATTCCTTGTCTTAGGTGGAGGGTTACTAGCTGCTAGTATTGGAAGACAAATTTCACCCCTTCCACAATTTTGCCACAGGATGGGCCTACAAGAAGCATTCTAATTTGTCTTGGTGTAGGTGGTCTGGGTAAGGGAATATACCAAATGGCCTCTCACAGTCCATTATATCTACATTAACTGTAAAATCTACGTTATCTGTAAAATAAGCTTGAGAAGGAAATGGCAAACCACTCCAGGGTGGTTTGGTGACTCCCCAAAAGGGGTCACAAAGAGTTAGACACAATTGAAAAACAACTGAACAACAACAACAACAACAGTTTGCTTTCAATACTCTCCTCTCCTCTCCTCTCCTCTCCTCTCCTCCTCTCTCTCCTCTCCTCTCCTCTCCTCTCCTCTCCTCTCCTCTCTCCTCTCCTCTCCTCTCCTCTCCTCTCCTCTCCTCTCCTCTCCTCTCCTCTCCTCTCCTCTCCTCTCCTCTCCTCTCCTCTCCTCTCCTCTCTCTCTCTCTCTCTTCTCCCATATGAGCTTGAAAATGAAATTCAGCAAGGGGACATTCTCCTCTTATAAATATGTTTGTAACTCTCAAATGAATTTGCTTTGAGATTGCAGGAGAAAAAGAGGACCTAAACGTCTAGGTAGGTAAAAAAACAAAACTTCAAACCAGCCAATCAAGTCCAAGGGCAAAAAGTGTTCAAATGGCTCCAGTGTCAGGGTGGAAATAACCATGTGGAAGGCCATCTCTCTTTGTTTGCACTGCTGCATTTATCTTTGCTTTGTTTTCTGGGCAAGGTGCAGCATTTAGACGAGCTTTGTTGTGGATGTGTGTGGGAGGAGATTGGTGATTAATAACTGAATCTCTTCCCTTGGATGTCTGGCTAAAGAAACAAAAGGTCCAGAAGTGACTTTGCAGTGGGGAAAGGTCCAGGTATGGAGGGTTTGGGCAGCAATAGCCACTGCTCTTTGGGAAATCATGATCATCCCCCAAGCTGTGGGCTTGCCACTTGGCTTAGTATTTTGTCAGTAACAAAGAGCAGTGAAATTGTACCACTACCGAAGGCAGCTCATCTATATTCAGGCAAGATTGGAAAAGAAATGAGGTGCTGGGAGAA